GACAAACCTTTTATTCTTTATATGCTTATAAAATATCTTCGGGTTACCTTTTATGTTAATCTTTTCTCATACAATCTCTTTGCCCCTCTTATTTCCTTTTTCAGTTCTCCTCTGTACTTTCTATATTCTGTTTGATTATATTCTGTATTTCAGACCTGACATTTATCGTAAGCCTCCTTTTTCTGTTTTATTTTAATCCCAATTTCCTTATTCATCCAGGGAGGTTTTGATGGCCTACCTTTCCCCTTTGTGGGAATGTATTTGTTCTGTCCCTGAACTGTCTCTTCCTTGAAGGCTTCCCATTGCTTGTTAGCTGTTTTACCTACCAAACTTTCTTTCCAGTTCACCTTGGCTAGGCCCCTTTTTTACTCACTGAAATTACCCCACTTCCAGTTGAGTATCTTCACCTTTCATTGCTCCTTGTCCCTTTCCATAAGTACTCTAAACCTAATGATGTTGTGACCACTGTTGTCCAGATACTCTCCTGCTGAAACCTGCTCCACTTGCCCCAGTTAATTCCCCAGAACTAGATCCAGCACTGCTTCCTTCCTCATTGGGCTGGAAACATACGATCCAGAAAGTTATCCTGCACACATTTCAGGAATTCTTCCCCCTCCTTGCCCTTTACACTGTTATTTTGCCAGTCTATGTTAGGATAATTGAAGTCCCCCATTATCACTGCTCTATTGGTTTTGCATCTTTCTGAAATCTGCTTGCAGATTTGCTCATCTGTCTCTTTCCCACTATTTGGTGGTCTATAGTATACACCTACCAGAGTAACAGTTCCTTTTCTGCTCCTTAACTCTAACCAAATAGATTCTTTTTTGGACCCTCTAGCACATTGTCTCTTTCCAGGGCCCTGGAATGTGCACGATGTGCATGGATTTTCTGGATCCTATTGAGTTCCAGCTGTATCTGTGCAGCATTTTTCCCAGTCCAGCTGTGGAGTGTGTACATTCAGAAGACACATGTTTCAGGAAGGGTGTGGGGAAGGTTTGCTTCACAGAGGTATTGATCCAAGTCGTATGCATGCGACCCCACCCAGCATACTTTAGGTAGATATTTATCAAGCTTGACACTTTTAGCTGTAAAATGCACAAATGGGGAAGATGACTGAAAGCACGGACAAAGTGACCCGCCTTGAAACTGGAACCATAGCAAAAAAGCAACATAATGTAGGACAATAGAACAATGAATCATTACATAGAAATAACCAAATGCTATGCTTTCAGTCTTAAACCAAGAAAGCTGTAAGGCAATATACGGCAAAGATCACCTATATGGCACATCATTCCTTTTTTTTGAAATTTTTGAACTTCATTAGTCTATGTTAGAAGAGTGCTCTGCATAACACACTATCATTTGTTTCTAAGGGTGTGGACGTTCCTAATTTTCCATATTTGTTCCTGTTGCGAATCGTGAAATAATCCATGGTAGGTCCCAAAATTCACGTTGATTATTGTCGAGAGGGCAGATTGTGTGGCAAGCAGGAAGAGCATCCTGGAAGCATAACTATAGACTGCAAACCAGCATTCCCCATCGACTTATTTGCCAGGTATTTGATTCTGCTGTTGGACAACACAATTGTAAGAGTTTGCAATATCATGCAGGACTCCACTCTACTCAGTGTAATGCCATTGGTTCTGGAATCGCAGTGGAGCTGACTTGCCACTAGCCTTGTGGCACATGTAGGGCATTAGCTATGGATAAAACATTGTACATAAAGGAGGTTTTGATGAAGAAGTCCCTTCGGCCCATTTGATCTCATCTTTCCTGAATACCCACCCTACCATGCTTGCATCGCAGCATCTAGCTTAAATGTCCTTAAACCACTGTTCTCAGTATCCCATCCCAATCGCTAATTGCCCTCTAGGTAAATAAATACTTCCTGGTGTCTATCCCGAAACCGCCCTTTGCTAAGCTGAACCTTTGTCCTCTTGTTCTGATGCCCTGTCACATCTGAAAATATTGTATTGGATTTACTTTCTCAATCTCATTAAAAGTCTTATAAGTCTGAAAGGAAACAATTATATTCATAATAATCCTTGCATTTTGATATATTATACTATTATAATTAAGATTTTATGTAAGCTCATTAATGGCACGAGTCAAGACAATAAATTTATAAATGACAATGGTGATATTATGCAGCTTTATTTTACAAGACGTAAATTGCCACATGGTAACATGCCTATAAATCCATTTTTTGAGCTTTGTAAGGACCTGGGTGTAAATTCTATTTTTAATGCAGTGTTTTGCTTTAATGTTCATGTTTATAATTGTTAACAACAACTTGCATTTATATAGAGCCCTGCAAATGAGATAGCATCTCGCAACACTTAGCAGTGGCTGAGCCTGACGCCAAGCCAGTGGGAAGGCACAAGCTGATTTTAAGTGTGGTCGAAGAGGAAGGGCTTTAGGCATGATCTGGAAAAGGGGAAGAAGGCAGCAAGACAGAGTAATTGAGGGAGAGAGTTCCAAAGTTTTGGGGCGTAGTGGCTGAAAGCCACTTACAAAAATATGGTGATTTTCTAACGGCAAAAATGATTTGATTCAAAGACAGATTGAAGACAAAATAATAAGAGAATTCCGTGTTATTAACGTGCCGGATTGTAATCCTTTCAAGAGCGTTGGTCATTAGAGTGGGGATCGATGAAACAGAAAAGCACACCTGTTTTCTTGTAGATCTTGGCATCAAGCATTTGTTGTAATCTAGACATTTACTTGCCTGTTAGCAGTATCTTCATAAACTAAATTCAATTTTAAGAATTGCTTTCAAATATTGATTTTACTGTTTAACTTCACGGTTGACACAAAATCCAAACATGTATTAACTTTCTAAGCTTCAGTAATGAATTTATCCACTTGTAATTTTTTGTTCCACTTTTCATTTAATTATTTTGCATGATTCCATAAAATTAGCTTCAAAGGAATTCAACAAAGATCATCTTTTTTCTTGTCTGTTAGAAAGAAAACTTCACGGGATTATATTTGGTTTGTTTATAAAAAAAATGCAAATTATAATCTAGAGAATGTCCTGTAAAAGAGGTATTTAGGCAGTATTGATTGGGGGAGTGAAAAGACATAATTTTTGACTGAAATACCCTGTAATTCATTTCTGCGCAGAATCAGTGTTAGACTAACCTGTGCCTACAAAATGTTTTCTTTTAATACAAACTCTTTCAGAATTACGAATTTTTTTAAAAAAAAGATAAATCTCTATATTTTCGTGACCAGCTTCATGAAATGTAAAACTGTCAAGTCCTTATGTTGCTATATATTGCAGTAAAGCTAATCATGAACAGTTAGGCAGTGGTGGAAAAGATCAGCAGTAACCTCTTAAAACTGAACAATCCTACAGATCCTTATGAATGCCCATTAAAACTCATTGATAATCATGTGTGGTAACTACTTTATGTTTAATGGTTTAGGTCTTTGCAAATCTCTAGATTAATAAATTGGTGCAAATTTAACCTTAGATGTAGATCAAAAGCATATTTTTGCAATATTAGACATACTGTATATTGAATGCCAAATCTGCTTCTGAATTTTCACCAGTCATGCCTTATAAATTCATAACCATTACACTAAAATCTGACTGTCCAATACTAATAATGTACATTAGGTTATTTTACAAACCGATATTATTGTATGTGTTCTTAGTGCATTACACTATGTGTGGAAGGGCAGAATATTAACTTACTGTCTCGATTTTAAACCTGCTGCTGAATATACTAAATGATGAGGGTGAAATTGTTTTGTCCTATATCTTTAAATTATTTTTCAAGAAAATGTTTGGGGTAAATACTGCAACAAATTCTTTAAACTGATTTTGTTACCAAATTTCAATGAGCAGAATTCAGTGCCATTTTTAGTGACAAAGCTGGGTTGAAGTGAAACACATTTGCAATATTTTGGTGAGCGGGAAGTTATGAATTGCATTTTAAAAATCCAATCATTGAGTTGTGCAGCATTTTAACAGACGCCATGCTGAAGCTGGTTATCTTTCACACTTTAAGAGCTGGAATAAACATTTGAGGGCTGAAATTCCACCCAGTTGTAGCTTGTTAAGACTATTTCATTGTAAATTTTAAAATTACATGGAACATTTTCACATTCTTTTTAAGAACTGCCAAAAGCAGGCTTCCAAATCAATCGCTGAAATTAAGAACTTTCCACAATTCTGCGCAATCGTAAATTTTAAGGCAAAATGGTCATAACAGACTAAGGCTAGGTGGAATTTCAGACCTGCAATTGTTATTGCTGGAAACATTTGCAGCTCTTTGAAGAGTTTGCTTTCAGTGGTAGATTGTGAAATACACACTTTGCTTTCATCAATGGAAATCTTCACAATAATTCTATACTCTGACCAATTGCAATACAAAGTTCAGGCAGTTTGCATCTCCTCCAATCCTATTCTTTTGCATTTGTCCCCCAAAACCTCTTTCATATTGCTTTTCCTCAGATATTTATCCAATTCCCTTTTAAATATTGTTTTGGACAACAGCCTTTTACTGTAACATATTTCACACTCTAACAATCCCCCATGTAACGACATTTCTTCTAAACTCACCCTTTTTTTCTTTTGGTGATAATTCTTAATGTATACACTTTTGTTGCTGACTTGACTCAAATCAGTAGCAGTAACCTTAAATTTACTGCATCAAAATACCATTATGTATTTTCAATATAAGGTCTCTACTTAATCTTCTTTGTTTCAGCAACGAAAATAAACAAACTCCCAATATCATAAAAAAGAGAAACAAAGAATGTACAAAATGATTTTCTGCAATAAACAGGATTTGTTTTAATAAATCACTTTATCAGTGATGATAAAACCAAAAATGTCGCTACTAATATGGGAAAAAAAGAAAATTAAAACCTGGTTATATTTTCTTTGTGATGTGGAAATACAGCTTCAGTCCTCAGAGTAAACCGTGTGTTTAAATTCCTTCTCTTTCAGACTGCTTTTAACGCACTATATTTTTCTTTGAAAATAGAGATGGAGAACCGCCACTCGAACAAGGCTGGATACCATATTTGGGTCTGGCTTTAGAGTTCACTCGAGACCCTCAAGCATTCCTCTTGTCTTGTCAACAGAAAAACGGAGACATCTTTACAGTCTATCTCGCAGGTTAGTTTCAAACTGAGGCCAGCCACAGTTGTGACTGTCAAAGCGGTCTGTAAATTCTTCTGGATTCCTTTTGTATCACAGCCTGACCATTTTGTAGCAAACACAATGTTTGAGGAAACAACAGTTTTATATATAATATATATATGTGTGTGTTTTTAGGCTGTGTGTGAAATCTTGGGCTTCAGAATTACCTCCCAGTTGCATTGACCTCCACGCTGAATCTCAAGAAATGACATGACGATTAGCTCAGGGAATTCGACTTGAAACCTCTTCCAGCTCGGGCTGAGGGGAGCTGTGCTGCTTCCACCATACAATTTGTTTGGGTTTTTAGCAAGCGGGTGCAGAACTTGTCAAAGCACTTAGAAAATACATGCATTTTTATAATTACTACTTCCTGAAGCAGTTCATTTGGAAAACGCGACGCGAAGCTTGGCAAAGGCTGTGTTTTGTAACACGATTCCGCTGATTGTGGTTTACCGACATGACGAGCAAATGATTGTCGTGCTGAAAAGTTGCATGGGACATGGATGTCATCTTAATAAAGAAATTAAAAGGCACATCTTTCTGTGAGAAACAATGTAAATTTCTGACCTGTCGCAGAAAATAGTTCTCTAATTGGTATTGTGTGGTGGTGCAGCAGAATCGTTTCCCTAAACGTCATTCCAGCGAAGCCATACTGTACATCATTGTCAACAGTTCAGCAAAATCTTCCTAATAAGAGAAAGATTACGTAAATGCTGTGTTCTTCAAAAAGAACCCTACTTTGTTGGATTCATCTCCCAGAAATGGGCGATATTTTCCCTTTTTTTTCCCCAAGTACCACCAGAAATGAGGTATAAACGCCAGAAAAGATGAACTATTTTCATTTGACGCATACAAAATGCATTCACAGATTCAATAGATGACAGCACGGTAATTGACTTAGGGCTGGATTTTTTTTCTTATTTAGATATTGGCACAACCCGCTAAAAAATCTTGACAATGATTTTAATCGAGATTCCTTTCAACCCGTGGATGTAATGTGCAAATCGCTATTTTGACTTCAGCGGATAATATGTCTGCAGATCATGGACTGGGCTCTTCTCTTGTCTTAGACTGTCTGTATGACATTGTTCACTTTTTGATTAAACACCACGACTAATTAGTTTACCAGGCCAACCGTAACCGTCACACTACAGCAGTCGGTGCTAATACAGTAGATATTTGTGGTGGAGCATTGTCCTATCAGTATTTAAAGGAAGCCTCTTTTCATACTTACAAAAATGTAACATGCAGCTATTTGAATCGTGCCTACTGCTTTGTTGCCAGTCAGATTTGCAATTGTATCCTAATCCTGTCGTCAAAGTAAAATGAGGAAGGGTTGTACTTCCAATTTCATATAATGTGAAATATTATTCCTCAAATCCAACAAATTGGAACTCATTTGCACCACGTAGCAACTGGACTAGTTGCAATGAATACCCAAAGGGTGTTAAGGTAATAGATTAAGATAAACCACACAGAGGACAGAAGTTGATGACAACAAAAATGGCATCAGGACCCATATAACCCTTTAACACTAAAGGTCAAGAAGTTGGTTTATGAGTTTGTGGATGAATGCATTTCTATAAATCGCGTGCACAAGCTTCTTCGGAGCTCTCCCCTCCCCGCTCCCCTACCCATTATAGTGTATGGTATTAGTTCATATGGTATAAGAAGCAAACACTATGGTACTGTATTAATCATGGTGGTGTTGTTGATGATCCAACGTGAATCAATGTAGACGAGACTGAAAACAAACATTGCTCCACGCAGACACCGGATGGTTGCATGTAACGATTTATATGGGACTATAAGAGTGTTCCCTCTCCCCATGATGATCCACGCCAGCGGGTTAACCATGCCTAGCTGACCCCCGCTGCCCCCCCCCACCTTGCCGTTCGCTTTTAGCCTCGGCGTGCGCATTTTGGCTGCTGCTACCGACCTGAGCTGCTTTCCCAAAATGCTCCCACCCCTGTCCTCTATCCTCCATTACTCCCGCTCAGTCCTCCTCTCCCACCACCCTCCCCGACTCCTATCCCTGCTCGACCATCCTACAGCCTCCCTCTGCTCCAGCCTGCGAATCCTCCATTGGTCCACAGCGGCAGTTGCTGCTGGCTGTCCAACAGCAGCCACTCTGACTGCCCTATCACCCATTCTCGCCGCAAGGCCCACCAGTCCCTGGCCAAGGGGAACAACCTCTCCTCCCTCATCCACATCCCCATCCTCCTTGTCAGTCCTCCCACGGCCCCCCACATTTCACCACCAACTGTCCCTCCACATCGGTCTACAAAATGTCCGCTCCCTCTCCAACAAAACACTCACCATCCAAGACCTCATTGTCGATAAAAACATCGACATTCTTGGCCTCACTGAAACCTGGTTCACTCCAAGCGGCACCTTACCCCTGATAAAGACCACACCACCCGGCTACACCTTCCATCATTCCCCTCGACCTAACCACCATGGTGGCGGGGTGGCTCTCATCTCCTGGTCCCCGCTCGGCCTATCCACTTACTGTTCCGGAACCTTCCCCTCCTTTGAGCACCTTACCCTTTATCACCCCTCCAACCTTTCTCTCAAAATTCTCCTTATCTACCGCCCCCACCCAGCCCTCCCCCACCTTCATCCCCAACATCTCCAACCTCCTATCTTCCCTCTCCCTCTGCTCTGAATGCCTCCTCATGCTAGGCAACTGCACCCTCTCCTGCTGTACCTCTGCTGACTTCTCCTCCCTTATTTCCTCTCTCAACCTCTCCCTCCACATCCACTCCGCCACCCATGTCTGTGGTCACCCCCTCGATCTGGTGATCATTCGGGGCCTCACCGACTCGGACCTCACCATCATCGACAAATCAATCTCGGACTATCACTTCATCTCCCTCAAACCCTCTCCCCACCACCACCCAACCCACCTCCATCTCCTACCGCCCCTGGAAACAAATCTCCCGCCCCTTGCAGCTGCTTTGAAGTCATTTGAACTCCTTCCTCTCTGGGCTTCCTCCTGCAATGACCTTCCCTCCTCGGTCACTCTTCTCCACAGCTCCCTCTCCTCCATTCTCCATCCCTTGCTCCTCTGTCATCCCAAACCATCTTCTATTCACATAAGTCAGCATGGTACACCAGCCACCTCCATTCCCTGAAAGCACAGGTGCATGACACTGAACGCACCTGGCTTAAATCAAACTTAACGGTTCATCAGCAGATCTGGCCGGACCTTTTCAAATCCTACCGCTCCGCCCTTGCCTCCGCTAAATCGTCGTTCTACTCCAAGATAATCTTGGAGGCTAAGGACAACCCCAGGCTCCTCTTCTCCATCACCAACCAGCTCCTCTGCCCACCTCTCACGCCTCGCCCATCCTCACCTCCAATGCCAACTGTGAGGCGATGCTGGACTTCCTTGAATCCAAAGATGAGGGGATCCACTCAACTACCTCTGCCCTTGTGTCTTCTACACCCTCCCCATCTCCCCCTCCCACCCTGGCCCCTACCAATCTCTCCCTCCACACCTTCGAACCTGTCTCCCACTCCTCTCTCACCACCACTATAACACACCTGAAACCGACCACCTGCTGCCTCGATCCCATCCCTACCCCTTTCCTTACCTCCCAGCTCCACCTCCTTGCCCCTCTACTCAGAGACATCATCACCCTCTCCCTGTCCACTAATACTGTTGCCACCCCATTAAAAACGGCTGTCATCACTCTTATCCTCAAAAAACCCTCCCTGGACCCATCTGTGATCTCAAGCTATTGCCCCATCTCTAACCTCCCTTTCCTCTCCAAGGTCCTGGAACGAGTTGTTGCTTTCCGGCTTCGCTTCTTCCTCTCCCGCCACTCCCTTCACAAACTCCTCCAATCAGGTTTTTGTGCCGCCCACAACACAGAAACAGCCCTGGTCAAAGTGACAAATGGCATGCTGTCCATCTGCGACCAGGGTTCCCTCTGCCTCCTTGATCTCTCTGCTGCCTTTGACACTGTCGACCATTCTATCCTTATCCACTGCCTCTCCTCTAACTTCAACCTTCACGGCCCTGACCTTGACTGGTTCAGATCGTACGTCTTACATCGCCTCCACTTCATCTCCACAAACGGATTCTCTTCATCATCCGCAGACATGGGGTCAACTTTCACATATATCCAGATGACACCCAACTGTACCTCTCTGCCTCCACCCTTGACTCCAGCACCAGTGTTGTCCTGACAGAATGTCTGTCAGACATCAAGTCCTGGATGAGAGCTAACTTTCTTCAGTTGAACATCAAGAAGATTGAAGTTCTCCTGATTGGCACCCATCAGCACTCCACATCTCAGGCGCTAACAGCATCACCATCCATGGTTGTACACTCCACCTTACTAAGCCAGTCCGGAAACTTGGCTTCTTGTTGACCCTCAACTGCCCTTTCTATCCCACATCCGTGCCATGACCCGCTCTGCCTTTCCCCACCTCTGCAACATCGCCCGGCTCCGCCACTGTCTCACACCGCAGACCACCAAAACTCTCATATCCTCATTCATTATATCAACAACAACAACAACAACAACAAGATTCCATTTATAGAGCGCCTTTCACGTCAGAAGGACGTCCCAAGGCGCTGGACAGTTGGGTCAGGACCCGAGCAGGGGGGAAATGGTCAGGGTGAGGGGAGGGAAGGGAGGGAGCGAGGAGCGGGTAGAGAGTCGAGAGGGGAGATGAAGGCATGGTCAAAGAGAAAGGTCTTGAGACCGGCCTTGAAGGGGGAAAGGGAGGAAGCAAGGCGAAGGCACTGGGGCATGGAATTCCAGAGCCTAGGGGCTGAGAGGCTGAAGGCCCGGCCACCGATGGTAGGGCGGTTGGGGCGGGGGATGTGGAGCAGACCGGAACCAGAGAAATGGAGGGTACGGGCAGGTAGGTAGGGGGATAGTAGGTAAGAGAGGTAGGAGGGAGCAAGGCCGTGAATGGCCTTGTAGGTCAAAGCTTGACTATGCAAACACCTTGCTTGTCGGCCTCCCCAACTCCTCCCTCCGTAGGCTGTAGATCATCCAGAACTCTGCAGGCCGTGTCCTCTCCTGCACTAGGCTCTGTGACCCTATTACCCCCATCCTCGCCCAACAGTTCAAGATCCTGGTCCTCACCTTCAAAGCCCTCCATGGTCTTGCTCCCCCTCCCTCTGAAACCTCCTAACCCCCTACCATCCTGCTCGCTCCCTCCGCTCGGCGGGCTCCGACCTGCTTCACGTCCTCCACCTCGCCCACCCAACCATTGGCGGGTGGACCCTCTGTCACTCTGCCCCCACCCTCTGGAACTCCATCCCACAGTCCCTTCGCCTCACTCCTCCCTTGTCTCCTTCAAGACCCATCTCAAGATCCTCCTCTTTGACAGTGCTATCGATCACCTTGCTTCCACCCCTGCCCTCCACCCTCCCCAGTCCCGACCCCCAGCTCGGGCCTGAAGCTCTGACTGTCCAATGCCTTGGGACATCCTCACGACGTGAAAGGTGCTATACAAATGTAATTTTGTTGTTGTTGTTGTGGTATATTCCTCCCCTCCCCAGCTCCCGAATAACCCTGAAATTTACCAAAGTTTATCTATCTATCTATCTATCTATCTATCTATCTATCTATCTATCTATCTATCTATCTATCTATCTATCTATCTATCTATCTATCTATCTATCTATCTATCTATCTATCTATCTATCTATCTATCTATCTATCTATCTATCTATCTATCTATCTATCTATCTATCTATCTATCTATCTATCTATCTATCTATCTATCTATCTATCTATCTATCTATCTATCTATCTATATATATATCCGTCTCTCCTTTTTGTTTTGTTTTTTCTGTAGGCAAATACGTTACCTTTATCCTAGATCCTTTCCTGTACCAGTTTGTGATTCAGAAGAACAAGCAGTTGGACTTCCAAGAATTTGCCATGGACTTGTCATCAAAAGTCTTTGGCCATCCGCATTTGAACGACCCCAAAATACCAGTGTCTAATGAGCAGTTGCACAAGTTGTACAACTACCTTCAGGGTAAAGAGCTGAACAATCTGATTGAAAGTGTGATGAGGAACTTGAACCATAGATTGAATTTGGAACAGTTAAAGTCAACAGAATGGAAAACAGACAAACTATTGGATTTCTGTTATCGCACAATGATTGAAGTCAGTTTTGCATCTCTTTATGGAACGTCTCCCTGTGATGAGCAGAAACAAATATCTGAGCTGATGCAGAAATTTAGGAAGTTTGACAAAATGTTTCCCTATTTGGTTGCAAAGATCCCAATCAAACTTCTCTGGAACACCAAAAGGATCCGTGAAGATCTGATTAATTATTTCATATCCAGGGAACTTGATGGGAGATTGAACATGGCGTTTGTTATCGAAAAAAGGAAGGAATTTCTGGAGCAGCACAAATACCTTCAGGACCACGATATAGCAGGTAAGAATGAAAGCCAGTGCATGTGGAAGTGATCACAACAAGACCGTCACTACGTTAGGAGCAAATGCAAAAGAAATGCAACTAATTCAGCCAGACAACTCAGCCTACATTGAAATATTGTTACATAAAAATACACAATCTGTTATAGCATAAAAACAGGCCATTCAACCAAACTAGTCGTGCCAGTGTTTGTATTCTACATGACCCCCACCCCTCCTATTCACCTCTCCAGTACCTGGAAAGGAGTTCTACATTCTCACCATCCTCTACTTAAGACGTTCCTCTAAGCTCCCTTTTGGATCCACTAGTGGGCTATCTTACCCACATGGTAAGATTGAAAGGTCCACATTGTGTTATATTGGGTGTTGCAGTGAGTTTGAAAACTACCCTTTCAGCTTTGGGACTTGGCTTTGAATCCCTTACAGACTAATGGGATGAACGTCACCTCTCTAATGGATATTACTGTTTCTGATTGAAATGAGTCCCTCATGCACTACACAGCACAGCACAAAACATCCCATAATTCAGCACTAATTGACAATCTTGCTCAGAGAGACAATAAGTAGAGCTGGTGTGGGAAATCAAAATGCCACTCATGCAGTAGGGGGTGTCCTCCTGAGAATAGAAACCAGCAGGAGCCGGAGGTTGAGGTTGCAGTTGGGGTTAAAGCACATTTGGGGAGAAATTCCACCTGGATCTAGATTTATTCTATTGACTTAGAATTTTGGAGCATCCTGTATTTGGCAAATTCTTAAAACAGCCTTGAACTCGAAGTGGGTTTTCTGTAAGTGTTTTTTGAGAAGCTACAGAAAAAGTGTTTCATAATTAAACCTGAATTCAGCAATATGCCAAAATTAAAACTAGAGCCAAGTGGAATTTTTGCCCTAATTGCTGGGATAATGTAAAGGAGCTGTTCTCTAAATCGAATGCAAGGTTTATTATTATTATTTTTTATTATTATTATCTTGCAAACTAATTGCAACCTGATTGCTGTAACATTCACCCCTTCAGCAATCCCAAATGGTTTTTAGGCAGTGTCTAACAGAAAGGTTTTTTTAAAAATCTAAAAAATGTAACAATGTGATTTTTTTATCAGTAATGCAGTTTTCTGCAACTTTTAACTTATTTCAGTTTTGAATTTCCCCTTGTATAATAATACTAATCCTTGCATTTGTTAAAGCGCCTTCTCACGTAATCAAAATGTCTCATAGTATTTCACAGAATATGTTGTAAAGTGGTGTGACTATGTATTTTGTTAGTCGAAGCAGCAGCTAATTTGTGCACAGCAATTGATCACAAAAAGTGATCAATTTTTATTTAGGGTGATTTTCGGCCCGGACACTGGGAGAAACAAGAAATTTGCAGAGTTGGCTACTTATTCTGGTCAACAGTATTTTTTTGTTAAAATTCATCATGGGTAGACCTGAAGCCTCTGTCGAGATTAAGAGAAGGCGACAGAGTGAAGAGTGACCTTGAAGGTTTCATAATCTTCGGCAGTAACAGATAAAGCAATATTTTTGCCCCTGCTGAAGCCCTTTCAGTTAATCGAATTCAAGTTTTTTTGCTGATGTGGTAAAACAAGGCACTTATTGCTGATAATGAGACAGATTTAACAGAGCTGCATTTATTCCCCTCCCCATGTAACATTACTTTGAAATCGTCCTCATTAAGCAGAAAATTAGACTTCAGAAGCCTATTGGTTCTCATTAGCATTCACTGATCCTTGGCTGGGTCTGTGTCCTAACATCTTTTAATTAGCGCTCTGCAAATCTAATCAGTGTAATAAATGCTATTAATCTTCCTTTTCACTTATTTTTCACAGCCCATCATTTTGCCTTATTTTGGGCTGCTGTCGGAAACACGGTTCCGGCTACATTCTGGGCTATGTATTATCTGATGAAGCACCCAGAAGCCTTTACAGCCGTGCGTGACGAAATTGACCATGTGCTGCAGTCGAAGGATCAGGGGCTGGCACCTGTATTCAACATCAGGCTCAGCAAAGAAGATTTAGACAGCTTGATCAACCTAGGTAATCTATTTTACTTAGACAGTTGGGGAGGGGAATGTATGGTCGTCAGCATTCAGCGAGTCGTTCCGTTTTCTGGGAGGTAGATGTGCGGATCACATCTGTTCAATTGCTGCAGTTTCATCAATAATAGATGATTCACGTTTCTGTGTTACTTTTGGCTACATTTTTTCAAAGGGAAGCAAAAACTGGGCGAAGTAACCAAAACTAGCTCGTGAATAAGAACTTTTGTGTGCTTTTTAAAAAAATATTCCTTACTTTATAGATAGTCTGAAAGAGCACATCAGCAATCTAAATCTCCTTGGATTAATTACATTGAACAACACAGAAACAGGCCATTCTGCTCAACTAATATATACTTGTATCTATATTCCACACCGACCACCGGTCTTCCTCACCCCTCTCTCATGCCACTCTATTCCCTTCTTCCCTAATGTAGGCATCAAGTTTCCTCTTAAATTCGTTAATGCTTTATTATTATTGCTTAATTTGTTATTAAATATCTTACTTATTCTAAAGAAACTATTAAAGAACCAGCACCTGATGAACATAAAAAGTATTTGTAAACAGAGGGTCTCAGTATGCCAGACACGCAATAAACTGGCTGCTCTTGTTGATGTTAATACTGCTGTGGTATATTCCAGTTTCTGTGTTTATTGGGTAAAATTATTTAGGAACTAAATACGCTCTCTACCCACTGCTCTATGATGTTTGATAAAATTGTGATTTTAAGCTTAAAACTCATAACTAAATTTATAGTGAAAATAAGTTCATGTCATTCGTGAAACAGACAAATGGACTTAAAGAATAGTCTCACTACATCGTGGAGTTCTGTAGCTCAGTGGTTAGAGCACTCGCTTTGCAAGTGAGAGACCTGAGTTCAATTCCAGGCAGGGCGAAACCTTGGGCAAGTTTCCTTACTCCACACGCCTAATAATAATCCCTCCAAAACCCCAAACAATAATAAATTGATCATTTTCAATGCATGACTGTTTGTGGGACATTGCTGTGCGCAATTGGCTGCCGCGTTCGCCCACAAATATACAGTCAATTCACTTTACAGTGTGTTCTGTGAAGCGCTTTGGGACGTCCTCCTGACGTGAAAAGCGCTATATCAAATGCAAGGATTATTATTATTATTATTATTATTACAAATGTTTCAACAGAAACAGATTTGGGTGTCTTATCTCTGTGTTAGAAGGTTATGGGTTCAAGTCCCAAGTCAGGACTTTGAACTCATAGTCTAGGTTGACACTCCAATACAAATGCTGGCGGTGAGTAGCTTTATTGGAAGTCCCGTACTTCGGATGAGATGTTAAACCAAGGTCCTGCTTGCCTGGTCAGGTAGATGTGAAAGATTCCATGGCACTATTCAGAAAGAGGATGGAGTTCCTCCCAGTATGCTGGCCAACCAGGACAAAATTGTCCCCCCCCCCCACCTCCTCGACAAATTGATCCTTCAATTGTTCATGGTTGATTGTAGGACATTGCTGTGTGCAAATTGGCTGCTGTATTCACCTACAAAAATATACAATCTATAAACTTTACAGTAATTCCTGTGAAGCACTTTGAAACGTCCTCCTGACGTGAACGGCGCTATATATTGAATGCAAAGACCATTTTTATTATTTAAAGAATGTCTCTGCTAACTTTTGGAAAATTGCTCACCTTTAAGAGATAGGTGATTGTGATTCCTTGAATGAAAGTTTTGAGTCCATGTGCCGTGATTCGGCCTCAACTAAAAGGTGCACATTGTATTAAAATATGTGTATATTGGATTTGACACCATTTAGAATCAGAAATGAAGACATACGATTGCTTTAATCTTGAGAGTCAGCAAAAAAAAGGAGGAAGAAAATCCTCTGAGAAAATGCACAGTCCCGTTTACAATCAGCAGTCACATCTCAACTGAAATTCCCTCTTGACTTTCTTCTGAACTCAATATATTCCCACACGTCCCAACATTTCAGGATTGGGAAGCTCAACGGCCCATGATAGGAGATGAGAGGCTGGCTACTAAAAATGATGGCATAGCAGAGTTCAGTAAGTGCAGTAACCTATCAATATAACACTCTCTGATGTACCTCCGCCTCTGATATTAACATGTTGGCAAAGGCTCTGTCAGTAACTCGGAGACTATGTGAAACGGCCTCTGTAAAATGTTGTTTAATGCAAAGAAACCTCTCTGTATGGCCCCTGGAGACACTGTTCTGGATCAGCTACTGTAATGAGCACTGATTCCCTTCTGAAAAAGCAGCAGCGTCCTAAAACATTTTTAATGCCCGATTTACACACCCACAAGAATGTTTCTCCATGAAAACAACTGTGCCTTTTAAAACCCCATCATTTAGAAATTTTTAACCAAAGTAACAGCGGTCGGATTTTTTGACAGACGCCAAAAAACATTTGTAAGTACTGGGTATCTCCTGTCAATCACAGTGCCAATCTGTCAGCCACCATTTAGGGAGCTGCTGTATTAACATTCTCCACAGTGACATCAGTGCATCGTTTGAAATCACTGTGATTGACAAGCGACCCACTATTTACAAATACTTTGGTGTTCCTCAAATGCTGGTGCTTTAGAATAATTAATCCGAGGAGATTAAACTTTTGCAGAGGAGTTTGGCACTTAAAGCGAAGATAAAGTACTGAGAATGGCTAAATAGATACAGCTGCTGCCCAGTGCCAAACAGAGCTGTAAAAATCGGAAATGTCCCAGGTTTGTATTCCAGTCTCAGCTTAATTAGATGATCTCAGCTATTGAGGTACGGGGCCAGCAAGATGCTGCACAGAGAAGAGGAAACCTTGCATGTTGATTCTCCTCCTGATGTGTCAAATGAGACCTGCACATGTGAACAAAGGATGAGGACATGATGAGGCTTGGCTGGGCCTGAGCTGAGGCTCTTGATCAATTTTGCCTAATGACACTCACCGACCAGACTTGCTCATGAAGAAATGGCCACTTAAGAGAGGAAACTGGAATCTGGCCAATCAGCCCCAAATAAAATTGATCATTCACTTTTTGGATGGTCGTGAGACATTGCTATGCACAACTAGCTCCTTTGTTTGCCTACAAAATACATGGGTCCGAAACACTGACTGCACAGTGCCTTTGGACCTCCTCCCAATGCGAAAGGTGCTATACACACGTAATTTTGTTGTTGTTGTACACAATCGCTGCACTTTACAGTGTATCCTGTGAAGCGTTTTGAGACGTCCTCCCAATATAAAATATGCCAAATCAAATGTAAGTATTATTATTACTTCTACTACCTTGGATAGAGTTGGGAGCAAGGTAAGTCAGGGGGAAGATAATGTTGGGGTCGGGGTATGATTATTGCAGTCAGCCATTGAACCCTTTACACCCTTCCACTGCCTCTGATATAAGATATTCACTTATGATTACTTATGAATCGAGAACCAATACAAAAATACCCACATTACCATGGTTTGTTTGCATTTCAAAGCAAGTACAATATCACTAGTCTAAGGTATTTGGGTATTTCTTAAACATAAGGCTGAAATGGAAGACCTGCATAAAAGGCACATTTCCTTAGATGTTCTATCATCACTTTGGTAGCTGGCTACTTCATACTTTGCTGCTATTTGTGGCATTTTCTAAGCATGAAATGCATCAGTGTAAAGGCAGACCTTCCATTGAAATACTCCTGCAATAGATTTCCCTCACTCCCCTGTTTCACTGACACCTTTTTTTAAATAAAAGGTCAATTCTTTTCAGTGTTCAGGATTAGTTACTTGATAATGTATCAGTATTGTTGTGGAATGTTAATCCTTTAATGCAAAGTTATCAAACCCAGTATAATGTAATATTCGGCTCCTTTAAATGTCTTAGCCACAGTTAGTACCAGCCAGGGGCAGACTGGCTACATGGGAATTTGGGAAATTTCCCAAGTGTCCAAGTGAATGATTCCCAAGCGTTCTCGTGATTAGTTCCCGATATTTGCCACCTCATGCAGCCTAGATATATTTAAGCCCTGACAAAGTTTTTAAACGCCCCCATTTTACCTGACAATCCTGAGCCCTTTCAGGGAGCCAGTCCACCAGCATTGTCTGAATGAGTAGCAAAATCAAAATCTCTGCGCAGTTTTTACACCGAGGATACTGATGGACGTCTGTCGATTGTGGTTTATTGCGCAACAGATTGCTTTTGAATTTTTTCTCTCAGGAATAATTTATTATAATAATAATTATTATTATCTTAGATAATATCTTTGTCTTCCCTGTCCCCTAGTTATTGTCACTTATTTTTCATTGCGCTTCTGTTGATTGGTAGATTGAAAGTAGTCACAAAGAGAAAACATTGATTTCTAAATTGGCTATTGATCATTTATTCTTGAGTTACATTGGCCATTCCAGCTGTCCTTTCTAGAACTTTTGGGATTAGGTAAAATATACAAACAGTCAAAACTGACCTTGAGGTTTTGATTGTGATATTTGATTGACAGCTTGATATCTCATCATTGTGCATTAGAAATTCCACTGCTCTTGGATTTGTTCTAATGCCAGCATCTCAGACTGTGCAGAATTTGATAAATTCTAAATACTGTGTAATTTTGAAGCCATCTTTCTGTAAATTTGTATTAAGATACCATACAAAATTGGCTTCTCAGCTGAGACTGAATTAATCAATGTGCCAAATTTTGGATGCTCTGAAATACTAAGTCAAGAGATCAAATGTAGACCCAGATTGAGTTTCTTCCTCCTCCTCCCACCACTCCATCCCCCCCACCCTCCCTCCCCACATTGTTTTTCAGCAGGGAACTTCGTTTTAACTCTGTTTGCCTGCCAATCAAAAGGCTGTTGGGACGACAGTCGCATCAGACAGCTTCACCTCAGCAGCCTTGTTCCACTTCTCAGCATTTCAGGAAAGGAATGTATTACATGATCATTAGATGACAAATCTTTAAAGACTTGTTTACCGCAAATTCTACTGTCATAGAAGGAAAACAAATGTTTAATTACAGTTGACTCCTACTTTAGCTGTATGGTGAACAGAGCAAGTTACATGTACAATTTACATTTATACAGCGCCTTTCGCGTTAGGAGAACATATCAAAGTGCTTATCGAAGCAGACTTGCACTGAAGAGTGGTTTTATAAAATAAAGGAAAAAAATATAGAATTAAGCGAATGCATCAAGTCATTGTTATGAATTGCTTGCATCAGTAGTGTACATTGGTAAATTTGGAGGCATGTGGTTGCTTGGGAAACCTAATATATGGGGAACAATAGGCAGCCTTTTACTGTCTTTGGAAATAGAGTGTCATATTAGGGGGAATGGAAACACCTCTTCCAACCACAAAATGAAGCCTCAGTTAACCCTCAACATGTGTGAGAAAGAGGAAACTAAGGTTTGTGTTTCCATGATAGGCTTTAAATTGCCTTGTTTGTTCTGTACTAGCGCACAAACAGATGTTGCTCTACTACACTGGATAATTTACCGTACCTCTTAGTCCAGAATGGAAGACCTCCCAAGCCACCCAGCTGATCTGTCTGTGGCATTGGATGACTGTGTTTGACGTATGTTAAGTGCGTGCAAGAAATTGTAAGCAAATTGTTTAGGTTGATGAGATTATTTTACATTTTTTTGCGACTCTGTAACAGGCTTTCAGTATTGTATAGAAGTGTGTGTATGTGTTATTTTTGTCAGTTAAAACCCCATAGGCCCCAGCATCTCCCAAGCTGATCGTAATCTGACTCATTACTTTTGTCATTTCATAATTATCATCATGATTGCTCAAAGCCGAAGCCAGCCTCTCACCTCCCACATGTAGCTGGTACTGTAAGGTAAAACAGATTTGTCATTTAAGATCTGACCACCAAGGCACACTTTGTGCTCCATTATCGTGATTAACTCCTGCCTCAGATATGCTTGCCCAATTGTCATTTGTGATACTGCATCAGGCACTGACTGCCATGCTGCCAGGGAGAATGTCAACCAATGGCATGTGACCATGTTGCTCCTAGTATAACTACAACACTACCATTTCACAGTGGTGTCCTGCAGTCCCGAGATCTTTATTTGTTTCGTCTGATTTCTTGGGCAAACAGTAATGTTTCACATGTCATCTATCATTTCAAAACCACATATATAAAATGGTTTATACGCAGTGTCTTTCTCGTGGCTGCACACAGCATGAGGATAGGGTGTAGACATTTTTTCGTACGCTGCAAAGTTTCACTGCCAGTTAGAATCTATCGTGTCAGGTGCCTTGTGGCAATCCGCAATCCAGGCTGGATTCTGGAACCGCAGTTCTTTCTGGCTTCGTCACCAACAAACCGATTTGACTCTCCCTGATTATAGTAACGAAGGCAGTCCAAAAGAATATGCACAGACTCACTGTACGTCACATTGAATCACAGCGCTGACCACACAAAGCTGACCATAGCCTCATTTCTTTAGACAAATGCACGCTTAAGGAAAAACCTCCTGCGAGAATGCATCCTATGCCACTTTATTTTCTATGCACACTGCAGCAGATTTAATGTTTACTGAAAGAACAGTTGCTGTTTACTTCGGATTAGCACTTTCAATTTTTTCAGCTTTTTTGTTTTAGCAATATGATGGTGCCACTCGGTTAGCGAGTGGGCCTCGCTTATTGCCATCCCAGCACCCAACTCCCCTTAATGCAGATGAGCACCATAATTCCATATCATCTGGTGGGAGAAATCCCTATTTTCTGGCTTCAACTTTGATGATCAGAAAGAATCAAGTTGCTAAATGCAGCGTCCAGATATGCTGGAAAGAAGTCAGTTTTGATTACAATGTGAACGCTGCAACCCTAGACAGGAGCTACATGCTGATATGCATTCTATCAGAATGATTTATGCAAATTATGCACATTATTCCCATAGGAATTCTTCCTCAAACTGCCAGGATAAATTGCCGGAAATTAGCCATAAAATCTGTCGAGCAGGGAACAAAAGGTGAAGGCCATTGGGATAGCAAGGACGTTGGGCTTCTGGAGCCTCTTGAATAGGGTGTCGCCTTCAGTTGCAAAGGTTTCTTAACTGAATATGAAAATCTGTGAACCAATTCTCTCTTTTTTTTGTCTGTTGAAATCATAAAATTGCAGTCCTGAATCAGCCTGGATCAGTTGGTAGCATGCTCTCCTCTGAATCAGAAAATTGTGGATTCAAGTATCCACATCAAGACTTCAAATTCACACAGTTTGTGGAGCTCCAATGCAACCCTGGCACTATTCAAAAAGAGATACAGTTGGTCATTTACTTCATGGTTATTTGTGGCCATTATTGTACGAAAATTGGCTACCGCATTTGTCTACAAAATACAGTCACTGTACTTCATCTTAAATCCTGTAAAGTGCTTTGAACCCTCCTCTCAATATGCAAGGATTATTCTTATTATCATGATGTGATCAGAATCAGACTTGTTTTCTTTTTCAGGAATTTGGGTTTCTAGAATAATTTATACAGATGTTTACACCGAATGACAGTCTGAAAGAGGATCATTTTTAATTTCATTGTAACTTTTTGTTTTCTCTCTCTCTCTCTACCTTCTTTTTCTTTGTCCATTCCTATTACTGCATGCCTGTAGGAAGTGCCATAAATGAGACCTTTCGCTTCTGCAGTGCCTCTATGAACATCCGAGTAAGTCAAGAGGATTTCACTTTGAAGTTTCAAGAGGACAGGAGAATCCAATTGAGAAAAGGGGATTGTGTAGCCATTTATCCCCCATTAGTACACATGGACCCAGAGATTTACAATCATCCTGAGGTATGTATTGTGTTGCATTCGCTACTTGCTCAATCCTGCAGGGATTCGGTTACAAGCAGACCTTTTGTGCCAGTGCTGCTGTTGCACTTTCCTGTGCGTGTACACACACACACACACACAAAAAAATCTGCTTTTTGTATAGAGTGTGGCTAAGGGTCTACAGGTCATTGAATGTGGTGTCTCAATAGAGGAGATGGAAATGAGATTAAGTGATGCTCCTTTGAAAACGATTAACATTAAACTGTGAATTGATTGGCTTGAAGTCAAGGAAGCCAGGCTTTGTCTGGTAATGGATCACTTGATAACCAAAAGAATAAAGCACTGCCTCAGTAACAAATAAGGTGCACCATTTAGGTAATGTTGCCAAGGCATCATTGACTCCAAAAATTCTTGTAATAGCTCTGCCCTGCTTCAGACGTATGTTGCTTCACATCACTTCATAGGGATTCTCCCCTTTCTTGATCAATTGATACAGTGGTGTGAACTTGAGATTGTGAAGCTGTTACTCTGCACTGACGCTCTGAGGGTAATTGTGTCATCTCGTTGTATTTTTTCTGAAGCCAGAGTTAATGAATATCAAAGACTGCAAATTAATCCACCCTGGCTCAGCCTTAATGCGGCTTCAGAGGTTCGCCACCTGCATGCAAATGAAATGCAATCAGATTCTGCACTGCATTTAGTGAATTGTTGCTGGCACCAGCATTAACACTAAATTATGAGCTGAAGTTGGAAAGGGGGGAATGAGCATTTTAGCAGCAGCTACGACCGCTGCCTTTTTTTCTCTCTCTGCTCATGACCTTCCCCATGTACACATATATATGAATACCTTAAATTCAGTCAGTTGTATTAATTGACAGTCTATATATTTCTTCAGGACAAAAGTTTTGATCTCGCCTCCACAAAATGTGCTTTGTGACACATCTGGTTAGCATTCAATTTGCTACATCATGTACTGAGCACGCTAAATCTTGGTCAACTACTACCCGATACAGCTAGTTAATAAGCTTTAGTTGATGTCACGAGGCATTAATACGATTTGGTGAATCTTGTAATGCCTCAAGAACCCGGATTCTGTTGCCAGGTGTGCATGTGTGTGTGTTGACTGAGGTGTTCTGTGTAGACAATGAGCATATAGAAGAAACCCTGAATTGAACTCAAAGTTCTCCATTTCACTCTCAGTGAAAAACAACCCAAATCACACAGATGTATAAGAACAAAGACAACCGAGTCTGAGATAAGGGTTTGAATCCAATCTCTGGGCCTGCCCAGTGGCTGTTAACACTCTAGTTTTGCGCTAGCTGTTCATGACATCATCTTTACCCAAAAATGACATCACTCTGGAAACTCACTCAGTAGCTGAAGACTTGAAGTATGATTGCTTCGGAGCCAAATCAAATCAGCCTCAGTATTAAGGCTCAAAATGCCTCTTGGCGTTGATGACTCTTTACCTTAAAATTTAAGATCGTACAGAATTTTGGAAGATTCTTAAATCAAGTCTTAATTTGGAAGCTGAAGTGAGATCCCTCCTTCAATCCTTTCTTATGGGCTCGGTCACCAAGTCTGGCATCTTCCATCTCCAAACTTGAATTCTCCAACACTCTGCTTGCCCACCTCCACAACTCCACCCTCCACAAGCTCCACATTATCCAGGTTGTACAGCCGTATCTTTTCCTAGGCTCCGTTCTACCTCTTCCTCCTAGATTGAGCTCTCAAATTGTAAAGCTTTTGAGACATTCTTGCTACTTGAAAGGCTCCATATATTTTAAGACAACGGTCTTAAAACTCAATCCAGGTACAAGGGAAGTCAGTACAACAACAAAATTACATTTGTATAGCACCTTTCATGTCGGCATGACGTCCCAAGATGCTGGACAATCAATGTTTCGTACCTGAGCAGGGGGTCAGGATTGGGGAGGGTGGAGAGCAGGGGGGGAATGAGGGTGATCGAAGGCATGGTCAAAGAGGAGCGTGTTGAGACGAATCTTGAAGGAGACTAGGGAGGGGGCGAGGTGGAAGGACTACGGGAAGGAGTTCCAGAGGGTGGGGGCAAAGTGGCAGAAGGCCCATCTGCCAATGGTGGGGAGGGCAAGGTGGGGAAAGTGAAGCAGGCCAGAGGCTGCTGAGCGGAGGGAGCGGGCAGGTTGGTATATGGTTAGAAGGTCGCAGAGGTAGTGGGGAGCAAGGCCGTGGAGGGCTTTGAAGATGAGGACAAGGATCTTGAACTGGATCCTCTGTGTGATGGGAAGCCAGTGGAGTTGGGGGAGGATGGGGGTGATAGGGTCGTGGAGCCTGGTGCGGGAGAGGATGCGGGCTACAGAGTTCTGGATTATCTGCAGCCTATGGAGGGAGGAGTTGGGGAGGCTGACAAGCAGGGAGTTTGCGTAGACAAGCCTGGCTGTTATGAATGCGTGTATGAGGGGCTTGGTGGCCTGCGGTGTGAGACAGTGGCAGACCCAGGCGATGTTACAGAGGTGGGGGAAGGCAGAGTGGGACATGGCACAGACATGGGGCAGAAAGGATAGTTGAGGGTCAAACAAGACGTCAAGTTCCAGACTGGCTTAGTAAGGTGGAGTGTGCATCCTTGGGTGATGATGCCGTCAGTGCCTGAGGTGTGGAGGCGCTGACGGGAGCCAATCAGGAGATCCTCAGTCCTGTTGACATTCAACTGTAGAAAGTTAGCTCTCATCCAGGACTTGATGTCTGACAGACATTCTGTCAGGACAGCAGTGGTCCTGAAGTCAAGGGTGGAGGCAGAGAGATAGAGTTGGGTATCATCCACATACATGTGGAAGTTGACCCCATGTCTGTGGATGATGTCACCGAAAGGGAGCATATAGCTATTGAAAAGGATTGGATCAAGGACAAAGCCCTGAGGAACTCCGCACGAGACGGTGTGGGGGCTAGAGGAGAAGCCATTTGTAGGCATAAAGTGGAGACGGTGTGAGAGGTAGGGTCTAAACCATTCATGGACAGAGCTATGAAGGTTGAGGTGAGAGGAGAGGCGGTGAATGAGAATAGAGTGGTCAACGGTGTCGAAGGCAGCAGAGAGGTCAAAGAGGACGAGGAGGCAGAGGGAGCCCTGGTCGCAGATGGACAAAATATAATTTCTCACTTTGACCAAAGCTGTTTCTGTGCTGTGAGTGACACAGAAATCCGATTGGAGTGGTTCGTGAAGGGAGTGGGGGGAGAGGAAGGACGCAACAAAGTAACAACTCATTCCAGGTCCTTGGAAAGGAAAGGGAGGTTGGAGATGGGACGGTAGTTTGAGAGCACGGATGGGCCCAGGGAGGGTTTTTTAAGGATAGTAGTGATGACGGATATTTTTAGAGGGGTGGGAATGGAGCCAGTGGACAGGGAGAGGTTTATGATATCGGTGCGTAGGGGGCAAGGAGGTGGAGCTAGAAGGTGAAGAAAGGGATAGCGATGGGGTCAAGGCAGCAGGTGGTCGGTTTCATGTAGGTTATGGTGGTGATGAGAGATTTTTGGGAGACAGGTTTGAAGGTGTGGAGGGAGGGATGGGTAGGGGCCGGGGTGTGATGGGGAGCACAACAATTTGCAATTATATAGCTAGAAAATCAAAACCGCGGAATGTAAGCCTGTTTATTTGAGGAGATTGTGATGGAGCTGCTAACACTCTCAGGTTATGAATATCATTCGAATGCTAGGGTGAATTATGTGCAGGATTCCAATAAGGGCTTGTTGACCACCTTCTTTATTACACCTGTGAAGATAACGAGGAATCTCAGGATTGGGAAAGTAAGGAGCAAATTAAAATATCTATTTCACAAAAGAAATAATAATAATAATAATAATAATCCTTGCATTTGATATAGCGCTTTTCACGTCGGGAGGACGTCCCAAAGCGCTTCACAGAACACACTGTAAAGTGAATTGACTGTACATTTGTGGGCGAACGCGGCAGCCAATAAACTGAATATGTAACATCACATCTATAAATATGTATGATCAGTGTGCTTAACTTTTACTTAAAACCAAATGCCAGTTGTTTTATAATAATAATAATCCTTTCATTTGATATAGCGCTTTCATGTCTTCTCGACGTCTCAAAGCGCTTCACAGAATAGACTGTAAAGTGAATTGACCGTATATTTGTGGGCGAAACGCGGCAGCCAATTGCGCACAGCAGTGTCCCACAAACAGTTGTGGATTGAAAATGACCAATTTATTAATTGTTTTGTTTTGGAGGGATTATTATTAGGTGTGTGGAGTAAGGAAACTTGCCCAAGGTTTCGCCCTGCCTGGAATTGAACCCAGGTGTCTCGCTTGCAAAGCGAGTGCTCTAACCACTGAGCTACAGGACTCCACTTGGCCTGAAATAATGAGGCAGACTTGTGGTGCTTTGTGCTACTGCTTAGTTTTGATGACTAAGCTTATTGTACATTCCAATAAGTAGAACAAGGTCTTGCTGGGGAAGATACTTTGGTTCTCCTTTACTGAAGCAACTTTTGTGCAGACTTGTTCTTCTTTCTATAACTGTTTGGTGTCTCAGTTGTTTGTTACTAGCGTTCGTTTGTATTGTTGTTGCACAGAGCTCCTTGGGGTTGGTACTGATGAGAAGGTTGTTATGGTTACAGTAGACACTGCCCCACAACTGAGGGTGAGTGCACAACTATTTAGTTGGTTTTCAAGCTGCCAATCATTCCAGTCAGATTATTATTTCACATACAAGGAATAAGTTCCATACTCCATGTATGGCAGATAGGAAACCTGATGGGATTACATGATATTATTATTATAATCCTTGCATTTGATCCTTGCACAACTGTTTGTGAGACACTGATGTGCACAATTGGCTGTCGCGTTTCGCCCACAAAACATATAGTCAATTCCCTTTACAGTATATTCTGTGAGTCTAGAAGACGTGATAAAGCGCTATATCAAATGAAGGGATTATCATTATTATTATATAGCACCTCATCATGTCATCGAGATGTCTCAAAGCACATCAGGGCATTCACTGTGATATCAAGACAACCTCCCTTTGCTCTATGAAAAGTGTCATGGAATCTTTAACATCCACCTGAACAGGCAGATGGGATCTGGGTTTAACGTCTCATCCATAGTACGGCACCTCCAACAATACAGCACTTCTCGCATTGCTGTACTGGAGTGTCAGCCCAGACTACATGAGTTCAAAGCCCCCAAGTGAGGCTTGAACCACAACTTCTGACTCAGAAATTAAAGTGCTACCAACTTAGCTAGGCCGAAACCATGCTCTGGTGTCTAAACAAATCCTTATTCACCTTCCAAAAGTCTCCTGTATTATGTTTTTTCAAAAAAAAGTGTCTGGCAACAGTAAATACTAATTGTGTAATCTACTTGATCTGATGCTGATATCATCGAGTCCTCGTGAAATGGCAGCAGTAGGTCATACTGTAATATCATTATGATATTTCAACTGGAGAATACTGCCACCAATCATCAAGTGCTGCAATGTAGTCTTGCTAATTTTTTCCCATCAATTTATAGAATTGTAATAATGCATATCGTACATATTAATGGCTTAAAAATGACTAAGGATTGAAATAACATTACCCCAGCTACTGAAGCTAATTTTGACACTGTTCTAGGACAGTGGTAATGGCGGGAAGAAAATTATTGTTGAAAACATAGATATTCAAACTCATATACTCATTTTACTTGTGAAGCAATTTTATTCAAAACTTTCTCAAGGACCTCGTGTACACTGTTATAGTACATTTAATTTCAGAACAAACCAAGGCCTGTGTTCATATTGTATTCTGGGGTCATGGAAGAGGCATTAACACGTTGATTGCTGAATTGTTACACAAGTCATACATCACCACTTTGTCCTCCATAATTAGAGTCTGCAGACATGCTATTTAATAGGATTGGATTTCTGAAATGGTTACAAAAAATAATTAGATTCCTGGCCAAATGAGTGTTTATTTCAGTGCACTGGCCAGCAATTCCTCAAATAAAATTGATCATTCGCTTCTTGTAGTTTGTGCGATGTTGTTTTGCACAAATTGGCTACTGCATTTACCTGCAAAATATGCAAATCCTATAAAGTGTAATCCAATTTGTGCACAGTAATGTTTAAAACATCCTCCCAACGTGTAAAGCACTATATCAAATGCGAGGATTATTATTTATTAATAGAATATTATTTTTGACAGATATCATCAATGAGTGAATTTGTGAAGATGTTTCTGTGAAGCTTGTCAGATTGATGTGTAAACTGAGCAATAAATAAGGGCTTTTTCCCATTACTTGTTCATTCTTTTACAGTACAGTGTTATTCAAAAGGTGGGGGACAGGAAATAGTTAAGTGTCAGTTGATAATACTCTCATGTTTGAGTCGGGTTGTGGATTGTAGATTTAAACTCCACGTTACGACTCTGAACTTGTAGTCTTAAGAGGACACCCTGATGAAGTACTGGGAATGCGCGGTATCGTTGGAGGTTCTGTCCATTATAATAATAATAATAATCCTTGCATTTGATATAGCGCTTTTCATGTCAGGAGGACATCCCAAAGCGCTTCACAGAATACACTGAATGAGATGTTAAAACAAGGTCCTATCTGCCTGTTCAGGTGAATGTTAAAGATCGCTTGGCACGATTTAAAGAGAAGACAGTTTCTCCTGATGTCCTGGCCAATAATTTTCCAGATAAAATTGGTCATTCATTTCATTGCTGTTTGTGGAACATATTATAGACTGACTATATATATACATACACACAAAAATAATGCATCATTTAAACCTACAACCCACAACCTGACTCAAAGCTGAGAGAATTATCAACTGCTAATAATAATAATAAAAACTCTTCCATTTTCCATCTCTTTGTCATTTTGGGTACCTTACACAATTGGTAATTATTCTAAATGAGTCTCGACAAGCTATTCTATCGTGGAGTGGCACTGTCAGGCCCAATATTTTATTTATCTGATATCTCCATATCTCCACACGTGCATGTTACAACTAGTGTCATTGGATGGTGAATAGGTGGAGGGACATTGAGGTCAATAGTGCCATTATTGCTGCTGTGCATGAGATCAGGTTAACTCAGAGCAGAGAAGAAATCTGAAAGCAGGCAGGTCTGTATGGCTCACCAGGCCTCAGAGTCATTGGAGAAGCCCTCTGTCACACCAGAGATAGTGTCCCATTCTGGCATACCAATATCCACTAGCAATGAGTGCAGGAATGCAGGGTAAGTTCCCAATTTCAGCTCATCAAAGGGAGGCAGAAAATCGAGGCTAGGGTCCCTGTGTAGGAAGGGAGTGAGAATCTGCAGGCAGGCCATCCTTGGCGACTCCACTGCACATCCCATCAGTCAGTTTGCTCAGTGGCACTAGCAGTAGTTTGTCTACAGATCACTTTCCAATGTATGACTCAGTGGGACCCAGAGCTGAGGCAGAATAAAGTCTAAAATCTCTACCCGCATAAACATTATTTCCTGAATATAATTGCTCCTCCTGTTTTTACTGTAATAAAAAAAGGATCAGGGGAAAGAGTTGAGTATTTCTATTTAAATCAAGTGCATTTATTTAGTTAGAGATTCTATTTCTCTTCTTCACAAACCTCCCACCAGCACTAACTACCACCTGGCAACCAGAATACTCCCAGCTGGGCTTTAGTTCAGCAAGCTGATTCGCATGTTGCAATGGCTGCTTTTAAACATCAAAAGTAGCATTAGCACCGGAACACGCAGAAGTCAAGCCTGATGTGAGTCAACACAATATGAAAATGGACTGTCTTTCAGGAATCTGAAGTGCTGTCAGTATTCCTTTCATAGAAGGATTGGATGCCTGGGCCAGGTATCAAAGGATGAATATTGGCATCAGGTTTAGAAATTATTGGATACAGTAATATTCCATTTCAGGCAATCAATGGAGAAATAATGCCTTCATTGCTCTATAGTAATGTTGCCATCTTTCCATTATCAATGGGAACAATAACCTATTTTTTCATTCAATGCTGTGCATCGTTTTTTCACAGCAGAGAGTAATTGGTGTCTCTGGTACGATACAATATTAGTGGAGTACAGTGGGCACTGCTTGTTAACTGCCTACCATCTGTTATCTGCACTATATACATTCAATAGCAACATACAAAAGTTACTACATTTAACAGTAAATCCTGTGAAGTACTTTGAGAACTTTTTCTGACGTGAAAGGTGTCCAATGCAAGGATTATTATTATTACAACATGATTTGTACCTTCCCATTTGATGTAAATAAAGAGTTATTTGCAGCACCAATAAAGATAAATAATTAATTCTATCCATGAAAAAGAGTGCAGTGGATGAATACATGTTCAAATCTTTTTTGTTACCAACAAATACAAGACAATATCTAGATTCCTCAGGTACCTTATCTCAGAGATGGCCTCCTCCCCTCTCCCCCATTTGCTCCTGACCCTTGCTTGGTGTCTAACTCTGTCCTTGTATAGTGCTTTGAGATGTTGCCCTATGTGAAGGGTGCTATATAAATGCAAATTTTTTATCTTCATTTGTAATTATAATTCACTCTCTGGCCATGAATTTCTTGCTGTATAACTGATTGCATTTCTATTTTACTTGTTTCTAGGTGTATAAATTTGACCGGTTTATGGAGAATGGGAAAGAGAAGACCACTTTTTACAAAGGAGACAAGAAGCTTCGTTATTATTTGATGCCCTTTGGTTCTGGATCCAGCATGTGTCCCGGGAGATATTTTGCAATCAATGAGATAAAAATATTTATCACTTTAATCCTGGGTATCTTTGACATAGAAATTGTCAAAGAAGAAAAGCTAATCAAACAGGATATTAACCGTGCAGGCCTTGGCATTTTACACCCAAACTCTGAAGTCTGTTTCCGCTATAGACTTCGCCAGGGAAGAAAAATTTGAAACGTTTGCGTTAACAAAATACTATGCTTAACGTAGACAAAAAAAACATTTACACTACATTTAGGGTTGACAAAATACGCAAGGTAGAGGGATGATTATCAGATTATCATTTGAATTTCAAATCACTTTTAAAACAACAAAAACAACAAAATCACATTTGTATAGCATGTTTCGGGTCAGAAGGACGTCCCAAGTCGCTGGACAATCAGTGTTTTGGACCCGAGCTGAGAGTCAAGATCAGGGATGGTGGAGGGCATGAGGGCAAGGAGGGTGACTGAAGGCATGGTTGAAGAGGAGGGTCTTTGTATGGGTCTTGAAGGAGGCAAGGGAGGGGGTGAGGCTGAGTTCCAGGGGGTGGGGCAGAGTGACTGAAGGCCCGCCTGCTGGTGGGGCTGAATAGGCTGGGGACGTGAAGCAAGCTGGAGCCCGCTGAGTAGAGAGAGCAGACAGGTTGGTAGGGGGTTAGTAGGTTGCAGAGGTAGGGGGGAGCAAGGCCATGGAGGGCTTTGAAGCTCTTGAACTATATCTGTGTGATGGAAAGCCAGTGGAGTCGAGCGAGGTTGGGGATAACAGGGTCACGGAGCCTGGAACAGGAGAGGACATGGGCTGCAGAGTTCTGGATGATCTGGATGGACGGAGGAGTTGGAAATTAAAGGGGGAATTAACCTGCTGACAAAAATTCTATTATGTTTGTGGACGTAGCTAGTGGGTAAAACCTGGTGCAATGGTAGTCCAAGTGGGGTGTACAGATGTGAATTGCAGGCTGCGTCAGGTTAGCTGAGGACCATCTCAAAGCAAACATCACAAGGGCAGCAATTGAATTGTCCCAGTGCCCTAGGTTAGGGAGAGGAAAATCAGCCATTGTTCCCGCTTGCATAGCAGCAGGACAAGATGGGGGGGGGGGTTGTAAAGAGTAATTTATGGACAGACACCAAGAAGCAATTCTTTACACAGAGTAATTAAACACTGGACTGGGTTACTGGGAAAGACGATTGGGCTATATAAGAGCAAGTTGTTGTTGTATTTATCAGTAATCATAGCAGCCAATCTACTCACAACAATATCCTACAAACAGTAATTATGTGAATGAGTAATTTTATCTGAGGGATTGTTGGCCAAGACATTGGGAGAAACTCCCTTCTCTTGTCAATTTTTTGCTGGTTCTCTTGACTTCTATTATCACTACTGCAATTTTTGCATAATGTTTAGGAATGATACTCACTGACAATTCACTTAATTCTTTGGCTACTTAAATGAAACTATTAACATTAGTTTATTTTCCGATGTGATAAAATCTAACATTAACTGCATGTTTCTTTTGCCCACAACTAATTGTGGAATTACTATATCTAATGTGCATTCGGTCAGAAAATATATCATCAAATTTCTGCTAAGTTACAGAATAATGAACATCATATGAACCCAGGGAAATTATTCTATTACTGCTGCATTTTTAGAGCAATTGTAATGACAGGGTGAAGGTATTAAATTCTTCAATCTAATTGCTAAAATAACAGAAGTTGCCGTTGTCATCTGAACCCCAAGACGTGTCGTCCTGAATTTGGCTCCATTTAGTCACTTCATGCAAATAACTCCTCTCCTTTCCACCATGACTGCTGCTGTGCTATTGCTCTCACTCTTAGTATTCCTGCCTGTCTGTCTTTGTTTCCATTGGCCTTGCTGCGTATTAATAGAGACTTGACTAACTTCAAACCATCTCATTGAAAAACCTATACTGTAATAGATATTAAGTGAATTGTCAAACCACCATGAATTTAAGCTAGTTATTGTATCCATTTGAAGTTCTTCTGTATTCCGATGGCATTTTGCTGCCTACGGACAGCTAACTGATCTATGCTCATGTTAACCTAATCCCTGATGCATATGCACAGAACTTGACAGCACCGTGAAATTCTTAAGCATGCTGTGGTTACCAGGACAGTAATGATTAGCTTAACAATAATGGTCATATAAGGGAGTCGTCAGTTTAAAATATATCAAATGCTGCATTGTGTTAAATGATGCTACAAATAAAATCTTTAGTCTGGCATCTCCTGACTGAACGACACTGTTCAAAAAAATAGAATTGCAATAGTGAAGACTTGGAGAAAATGACTGAACAACTTCCTCTGCAAACATATGCGTAAAACAAAACCAAGATGGAAGTAACATTATGGTTCACCCAAACAACAGAAACATGTCTTTTCTCATGTCTAGCCCTTCCTATCAGAGGAGATTCTGTGGATCTGACAACAAATAATCAGTCCACAAACTATGCCTGGACTTGTCCAGCTACAAGTACAAATCAATCAACCTAATTTTCTATATCATTTTTAGTATAAGATCAATATAAATCAGCTACAAATTCATTCATTCCACAAATGCATTTTAAATCAACCATTTTATTGAAAGATTACTTTAATCCTGCATTTTTCAATATAACCAGAATTTACTTTAAATGGTCCCAAATATGTGCTGGAGGTTCATATTCCTTTACTAACCAACTAACAACACGAATTGCTATCTAGCATTGAGAGGTTCACTGTCACACATTGTGTACCATATTCTACCATTTTATTCTCCACTATTGTTCACACCATCTTCCATGGACCTACATAGGAAGGAATTACCTTCAGCCCATCATGCCCACTCTGCCACAGACTGTTCCATAGCTCATGTACCACAACCCTTTCCTTGTCCCACCTTCCCACTGTAACCCTTAATAAATAAAATAATAATAATAATTCTTACATTTAATATAATGCAGAGGATGTCTCAAAGCACTTAGTAGGATATACTGTAAAGTGCAACGTCTGTGTATATTATGAGCTAACGTGGCAGCCATCTTGCGCACATCAATGTCCCAATGACTAAATTATATCTTTTAACTCCCCAGGTATATCCAGACTCACTTGATTACAACTGCTTGTGAACACTGCCTCACAAAGCTCCTCAATTCCTGTTTCTGTTGTATCAGCTTTCTGTTCCCTTTCTGGAGTCTCTTGTAACTATTTTCACTCCCCTCTATTATCTGTGATTTGAGCTATTACCAGCTCCTGAAAGCGATTCAATTTTCTTCCCAATGTGACTTTATATTCTCCATTCTCAGCCATCAGATCAGGCTTTTCTCTAATTGCAGCAGATTTACTGTTGACTATTGCCAATCCCACTCAGAGAAATCGGTAAAGATTCCCCCTTTGCCTTTTGGTCTGTTCCTATTTTTAAAATGACCTTCTTGGTATTTTCAACTGACCAAGCAGCAAATCGTTTTTCATTCTCTTGCAACCTGCTTTTTAGTTGTCTTTGTCTTCCTTGTGGACACTCTTGGTTGCGGGTTTGCTGGCACTTTCAGCTGCTTGTTGACATCCCAAGCTCTATATTCCCAGTATGCTGAGCATTATTATCAAGCCATTGAGTTACATCTGGCACAATCTGTTCTGTTTGATGGCCCAATGCTCTCTACCACTACATGCAGGGCTACCTTTAGTGACCAATTAAACTGGGTAAGAACTACATAATGCCTTAAAGATATAATGCCTAGTAGACCTGGTGTGATGCCTTTCCCAGTAGAATATAAATGCAACCAGAAATGACAATTCTTCTATGTACTAGGGTGCACAGTTGATGGATTTTGAAGCTGTGCAGGGGAAACAAATGAAACCTTTATATTGAACATGAAAGACGTAGGTAACATCTTCACTTGGTAATGCCTGATGAAGGTGGAGGTGAAACAACAACAGCTGAGGGGTGACGCGAAGGGTGATGCACTGAAGGTCAGTAAATTTGAAACACCCTTTGTGTCCTTCATTTAGAGGAAGGAAGAATCAGTTGATTCAGTAAACTTGCTATAACAGATTTTAAGGTCATCTGGACATTTATTCATCAGCATACAAAAACATGATTTCATTACCAAAGAAAATCTGAGTTAAAGATGTATAGAGCAATACAGTACGACATTGACTAAAAGATGTATAGAACAATACAGTGGGACCTCAAGTATCTGATGTGCAGGGGATCCCCACTGGTTAACAAAAGTTGCATGTAGTTAATTTTCCACTATGTGAGACAGAGCTGAGCACAGTGCAATACAATACAAAATAACATTTCTAAAGCGCCTTTCATGTCGCGAGGGTATCCCAAGCCTCTGAACAGTCAGAGTCATTAGGACCTGAGTGGGAGGGGGATTGGGAGAGTGGAGGGCAGAGAGGGTAGGAAGGCGGCCGATGGCATGGTTGAAGAGAAGGGTCTCGAGGCGTGCCTTGAAGGAGGCAAGAGAGAGAGCGAGGCGAAGAGACTAGGATGGAGTTCGAGAGGGTGGGGGCAGAGAGGTTGAAGGCCCGACCGCCGATGGTGGGGTGGACCGGGTGGAGGACATGAAGCAGGCTGGATCCTGCTGAGCGGAGGAAGTGGACAGGTTGATAAGGGGTTAGCAGGTCGGAGAGGTAGGAGGGGGCAAGACTGTGGAGGGCCTTGAAGGTGAGGACGAGCATTTTGAACTTGAGCCTCTGAGGGATAAGGAGCCAGTGGAGCCAGGGGAGGGTGGGTGTGATGGAGTCACGGATGATCTGCAGCTTGTGGAGGGAAGAAGCTGTCCAAGGAGTTAGCATACTCGAGCCTAGATGTAATGAAGGCATGTATGAGGGTTTCAGCAGCCCTGAGGAGTGAGGCAATGGCAGAGTCGGGTAATATTGAGGAGGTGGGGGAAGGCAGAGCGGGTCATGGCACGGATGTGGGGGAGAAAGGACAGTTGTAGGTCGAACATGACACCCTGGTTCCTGACTGGCTCGGTGAGGTGGAGTGTGTATTGATGGATGCTGATGTTGCCAGTGAGTGAGGTGCGGAGTCGCTGGTGCGAGCCAATCAGTAGAGCCTAGGTCTTGCTGACGTTCAGCTGTAGAAAGTTGTCTCTCATCCAGGACTTGATGTCTAACAGGCGATCTGTCAGGACATCAGTGGTCCTGGAGTCGAAGGTGGAGGCAGAAAGATAGAGTTGGGTAGTACAATAGTAGTAATAATAATAATCCTCGCATTTGATATAGCACTTTTCACATCTTCTAGATGTCTCAAAGCGCTTCACAGAATATGCTGTAAAGTGAATTGATTGTATATTTGTGGGTGAAATGCAGCAGCCAATTGCACACAGCAGTGTCCCACAAACAGCCATGGAATGAA